GCGATTTTTGCAATTTTCAGGAATTTTTGCGATTTTTGCAATTTTCAGGAATTTTTGCGATTTTTGCAATTTTCAGGAATTTTTGCGATTTTTTCAATTTTCAGGAATTTTTGCGATTTTTTCAATTTCCAGGAATTTTTGCGATTTTTGCAATTTTCAGGAATTTTTGCGATTTTTGCAATTTTCAGGAATTTTTGCGATTTTCGCAATTTTCAGGAATTTTTGCGATTTTTTCAATTTTCAGAAATTTTTGCGATTTTTTCAATTTTCAGTAATTTTTGCGATTTTTGCAATTTTCAGAAATTTTTGTGATTTTTGCAATTTTCAGGAATTTTTGTGATTTTTGCAATTTTCAGGAAGTTTTGCGATTTTTGCAATTTTCAGGAATTTTTGCGATCTTTGCAATTTTCAGGAATTTTTGCGATTTTTGCAATTTTCAGGAATTTTTGCTATTTTTGCAATTTTCAGGAATTTTTGCGATTCTTGCAATTTTCAGGAATTTTTGCGATTTTTGCAATTTTCAGGAATTTTTGCGATTTTTTCAAATTTCAGGAATTTTCGCGATTTTCGCAATTTTCAGGAATTTTTGCGATTTTTGCAATTTTCAGAAATTTTCAGAAATTTTTGCAATTTTTGCAATTTTTGCAATTTTTGCAATTTTCTGGAATTTTTCCAATTTTCAGGAATTTTTGCAATTTTTGCAATTCTCAGGAATTTTTGCAATTTTTGCAATTTTCAGGAATTTTTCCAATTTTCAGGAATTTTTGCGATTTTTTCAATTTTCAGGAATTTTTGCGATTTTTTCAATTTTCAGGAATTTTTGCGATTTTTGCAATTTTCAGGAATTTTTGCTATTTTTGCAATTTTCAGGAATTTTTGCGATTTTTGCAATTTTCAGGAGTTTTTGCGATTTTTGCAATTTTCAGGAATTTTTGCGATTTTTGCAATTTTCAGGAATTTTTGCGATTTTTGCAATTTTCAGGAATTTTTGCGATTTTTGCAATTTTCAGGAATTTTTGCGATTTTTGCAATTTCCAGGAATTTTTGCGATTTTTGCAATTTTCAAAAATTTTTACGATTTTTGCAATTTTCAGGAATTTTTGCGATTTTTGCAATTTTCAGGCATTTTTGTGATTTTTGCAATTTTCAGGAATTTTTGCAATTTTCAGGAATTTTTGCGATTTTTGCAATTTTCAGGAATTTTTGCGATTTTTGCAATTTTCAGGAATTTTTGCGATTTTTTCAATTTTCAGGAATTTTTGCGATTTTTGCAATTTTCAGGAATTTTTGCGATTTTTGCAATTTTCAGGAAATTTTGCGATTTTTGCAATTTTCAGGAATTTTTGCGATTTTTTCAATTTTCAGGAATTTTTGCGATTTTTTCAATTTTCAGTAATTTTTGCGATTTTTGCAATTTTCAGAAATTTTTGTGATTTTTGCAATTTTCAGGAATTTTTGCGATTTTTGCAATTTTCAGAAATTTTTGCGATTTTTGCAATTTTCAGGAATTTTTGCGATTTTTGCAATTTTCAGGAATTTTTGCGATTTTTGCAATTTTCAGGAATTTTTGCGATTTTTGCAATTTTCAGGAATTTTTGCGATTTTTGCAATTTTCAGGAATTTTTGCGATTTTTGCGATTTTCAGAAATTTTTGCGATTTTTGCAATTTTCAGGAATTCTTGCGATTTTTGCAATTTTCAGGAATTTTTGCGATTTTTGCAATTTTCAGAAATTTTCAGAAATTTTTGCAATTTTTGCAATTTTCAGGAATTTTTCCAATTTTCAGGAATTTTTGCAATTTTTGCAATTCTCAGGAATTTTTGCAATTTTTGCAATTTTCAGGAATTTTTCCAATTTTCAGGAATTTTTGCGATTTTTTCAATTTTCAGGAATTTTTGCGATTTTTTCAATTTTCAGGAATTTTTGCGATTTTTTCAATT